TGTAGAATTACAGAAAATATCTAGAAAGAAGTTAAGGAAATATATATTACAAAAGTTTTTTCCCTGTAAGAATGTGACATTATACATTACATAATTATTATATTTTGCTGCAACTTCATTTGTAAAATTTTGTAAATAAAACATTTTGCAATGAAGGCAAGAGATCATAGATATATCTGTTAAGATTTCTGATTTTCTGCAAACAGTGATTAAAATATTGAGTTATGATATCAGACATGAAAAAAGAAAATATTATTGAATGAATTAATTTCTTGCACAGAATATATTAATTAATTTTTAATACTCGCATTCAATAATATTATTAAAATATATTGAAGATTCTCTTTTTTATTTATAAATTAGAAAATAATCATAAAACTTGAATAATATCAAAAAAGAGAGTGTTTTTGTTTTTTCACCAATCTGTATCAATAACACAAATATGATGATATGTAAAAAAAATAATGCATTTTAACAATTAATTTATAATAAAAAAATTTATAATAAAAAATTTATGTGATTTCACATTTTGTATTTCATAAATGTAGTGACGAATCAAAAGTCAGTGCGAGACATACGAATGATGCGTTTACAGCTCAATCCTAACGCACCTATAGCACACTTGTAAAGGAAAGTTTAATCAGAAAGAAACATATCTTTTGGCTCTTTTCCGGAAATCAAAAAGACTATAAAATTTCCATTAACAAAAAGGAAAAAGAAAAGAAGCAAAAGTCAAGATATAGACTTTTTAGATTTTGTTACCATTAAATATTAGTATTAAATATTCTCATATATTCCATAAGAATTAGCATCAAATCATTATAGACAAAATAATATAAAATATCTTATACATATATACATACATTTAGTTTCAAAACTTTATGTATATACATATATAATATTTATTTTTTGATAATATATTATTTTAATGTTTTTATACACATAAAAATAATATAGTAATAATTGATATAAGAAATATAATTTTTAAAAATATGCAATTAATGTTACACAATTAATGCAATGCTAAATTTGTATAAAACTAAGATTATGAATGAATATACTATGCATTATTCTCCACAAATAAATAAAAAATTTATAGTAAGTTTATAGTAATAAAATATATAGTAATAAAATTTTTTTACAAATAAACAATCATTAAAATAAGTAATAATTATACTCAAAATAAGTAATAATTATACAAATAATTATCTTATAAATGATTGATTTATTTTTTACTCCATCTTAATATCTTTATATAAGACGTTTAAGAAAATATTAGAAACAAGAAATTAAACAATTTTATTTATTTAAGAAGTTTTTATAAAAAGAAAATATTTTTGGTGCATTTTCAGTGCAGTATTGTGTTTAAGAAAAAACAAATGTACAGAAAAATATATTTGTTATATCATTAAAGAATTTTACGTTTATTATATTGTTCTACTTGTGTGTAACAAAGAGGATTCATTCAAATTGCCATACAAATGGTATGATTTACTATTCTAAAACAGTAATTAAAAGAGAGCAACAATATTTTTTTTAGAAAAAAAAAAAATTTTTTTGTATTTATTATTTTAATTACTTATTTTCCATTTTTATACTTATAACTTATTACCGATTAATTAAAAAGAATAACATAAAAAATAACATAAAAAAATATATCAAAATTAATATATGTATAATCGAAAAATTTTAAATATCTAATAAATTTTTAATAAATGGTCTATATAATAGTTTTTTAATAAATGATCTATATATGATATATCTGAGTGATCAATTAATAATTTTTAAAGATTGATCATTTTTATTCATATTAATATATAAATTTTAGTGACATACAGCAATTAGCATTAGTATTAGTGATTGCAGCATACGTACAAAATTCTCTATTAACTATTCTATTATTAATGATATTAAAAATCGTTGTATTTATATATTATTTTACAGCAACACAAAAGTGAAATAAGAAGATAAATAGAATATGAAGATTTTATAAGTTTGTAGTGATTCACGAAATTGATTAAATGTTTCAGAAATTTCAAACAATCATTCAGAAATATATTATTTAAAAAAATATGTTATATATTTGTATATTTCTTTTGTGTGATTATACTACTATTTCTTTTTATATATTTACTCTTTCAAACATCTCTTTCTCTTTCTAACTACATTAAAGTTTTTTTACAACGTTACTAAAACATTTAATCAATTTTGTAAATTATTAAATTCAGACAATTAATTACTCTAATAATTATTATTAATTGGTTTTTAATATTGTGATAATAAAAGAGTTTAGTAGAGTTGTGATAGTTAAAGAGATTAGTAAAAAAGTGAGTTGCAATATATATACATAAGTGCTTTATTCTAATGATAATGAGCTTGGCATTAATACTGTTAAGGTTAATTTAATGTGTCACACAATTTTAAATATTATTATTATTATTTCATTATAATAACAGTAGTTAATATAGCGGTAATCAATATATAACAGATACTCACCCATATTAAATTATAATATATTTATTGATGATTTTTCACTCACTTTTATCATAAACTTCAACTTTTCTCATAAGGCTGGTATTTCTTTATTGCAACTATATTGAATTATAATCAAAATATTATAATTATCAAAAGCGAAAAATCATATAAATTTTTTTCTTGTAAGATATGTGGAAATAAATTAGCTTCATTTCTCTCATTTGCATTTGATGATTTATAAAATATATAAATTGCTTTTTCCAATATTCTCCATTAATAAATGTAATTTAATCTACATATATTATCGCTAACGAAAATTGATTTTACGATGATTGATTAAAATTTATAAACAGTTATTTATTAATCCACGATCAAAAGAAAAGAAACTCTTCGAAATATTTTACTAATGAAAAACAAATTTATTTATTTCGATATATTTCACGTAAGAAAAGAGTTTATAAGGTTTCTTATTTCAATATAATTACAATAAGAAAGAGCCTTGATATATCTTAATCCTAATTAGATGTCACTGACATGAGATTTATATTACACACATATAACAAATCTAATAGAATTCTGATGCATCCTATCCATGCATCCATCATGGAAACATGCTTGTAACATTGATATAATGTTTCTGCAATATTTTCGTAGTTTATTAACAAATAAATAGTAATAATTGAAGCTCGATTAACGTAAAATTTATTCGTAGTAAAAGTTTTTGTTAAATCTTATTGTTCAATATCTGAAGAAATCTATAACGCCAAACATTTACTATTATTATTTTGATAATTATATTTTGTTATTATTAAAATATTATTTTTCATAACTTTATAATCATTTTGTTACAAATTATAAAAAATTCATCATATCTACGATACTGAAAAGAATGATAGAAAATATTTCCAGGGTGTTTCATGCGAATTATAGACTCATATTATATATTCTCTACTTGAAAAACGACTTTGGGAACATCTTTAATCATCCACATTATGTTATCCTGCATAATGCGAGGTTGCAATAATGATAACAAACAGATAATAAGAAACAGAATTTCGAAATCCACGATAAATAATAGAAAATAGAATTATAAATAAGCATCAGAATGTTTGACGCGATAACGTAATTAGCGTTAAATTTTAGAGAAGGGGAAGCAATTCTCCTCGCATACTCGTGGTAAACACGGAGCAGAGTCGTAAACATCAAACAGCTCCGCGCAGCTACGGTCGAATATGTCGCTCCGCACGGATACCTGGTGATCCCATTGATAAGTGGCTCACTGAAACATTGTCGTAGGCCCGAAAAAGCGAGCCTCCGGTCGATCGTCGCTCGCGGACTCATCGCGCGATCGCGCGAGACATGTCCGCGCCATTGGATAACGGTACACGAGAATACGTCACGGCGAGAGGACCCCCCATCCACTCTTTACGAGTCTCGGGGAGCCGGCGCCGACGGTGGGAGAACCCACTCCAAAGCGTTTACCGTCGACCATTTACACTTGACAAGGACGGACTCTAACCGACGACAAGGACGGACTCGACGCGCTCAAGTCTGAGTGCAAAGAGCAGGGTTTCGCGAAAGGGGTATGGTAATGATGGTGATGGTGATGGTGATGATGATGATGATGATGATGATGATGATGATGATGATGATGATGATGGGTGCGACAGGTACTACCAAGACGATATGCGTGTTTCTCATGACGTGCCACCGCGACCACGCGGATACGTCAATCGGAACAGAAGGAAGAATGGACATCGAATTTAAGCTTTTCGCGCAACCAGGATGTGAGCAATGAAGGGCGCTTACGCGTGAATGGAATGGATATCCTCTTGGAAGTCGCAGTCAGGTGGATATGACAGTTTATCGATTGTCATGCAACAGCAGCTGTAAATCCGGAAGAAAATTAAATTCTTAAGGAAATATTTTTTCTTTATCTTCCAATTATTTATTTATATTTTCCTCGTCGTACTGAGACCTTCGCTTTTTATCATTCTTCATCAAATTTATATATATATTAATATATATAAGGAATGGCAAATGAGAAATAATTAAAAAAATAATAACAAGTTTATATATGTTACATAAAATATTCGTGAATAAGTATATTGTGCTCTATTTTTATATATGTAATTATCTTTACTATTATATTTTAATTTGCAATATTGTGTAATTTTTAAATTATTTTTTATACCATCGATATATTGAATGTTGCCGCAGGAAGTCGTTATTTCTTATTAAATTCCTTTCTTATCAATTTTGATTTATTCGAGTCCTTGTCATCGATTGAAGTATATCCTTATCGAATGTAAACAATCAATGGTAATAATAATTAGGATAATAACGGTTGACTTATTAGGAAAGTATTCAAACAAGAATTATTCGTAGCTATTATATTAACAGATAAAATTTATCGCTGAATTTCTTAAAATCCCGCGACATGTAATTCTCTCAATATAGATCTGACATGTCTGACTTATAATGTCTATCTTCTACTTAATATTTTATAAATTATAATATTCTTTGATTTATAAATAAAACAAGTACGTTTTTACGTCCTTACTTATTTTATTTTCTCATTTGTTTCTAATTTCTGTGTTCCAAATTTAGAATCTTCGTCAAATTCTGAATTGGCGTTTAATTGATAATCTGATGCAATCTAATTTCAGATACAAAGGATTATCAATCAACAATTATTTTTATTCTTAACAATAATCTTAACAGTAGAAAGAATTATTCATTTTATTTACAAACATGAATGTAAAATAAATAAATAAATAAATATAATTGGCTCCTAAAGCATTAGCATAACAATAGATATTTGAAGAAATCGATCAATTATTTAAAAAAAATGTATTTGCATCTCAATATAAATATTAGACATTTCTCCAGAGTCAAAGGATTTTAATTAGCGCCACAAAGGCACACAGAAAAAAATAAGTGTCAAATCAAAATTTATATACTTAAATTAACGCGTTCATTGTTTCGTATATACGCAACAATTTATAAGCTTCTTAGAAGAATTTAATAATTTTAAATTTCAACAATATTATAGTCTTATTTTAATATTATAATTGTCACCTCAAGAATATATAATTATTCAATTCTACTTTAAGAAAATTATAATCTTTGATTTAAAAATGTTATTTTCTATCAAATATTGTTTCTTTTCCATTCAAGAAAATTAAATCTTAAATCATAAGAATATATTCTTCTTGATTGAACTATTTAAAATGGCTTTATTCAAGTAAGCAATTATTCGAGCAATTATATAAAATAGCTTCATTCAAGTAAGCAATTATTCGAGCAATTATATTTTTCCTTAATTAACGCAATATAATCTCATTTCAAGATTTCCACGTTAAAACTAAATATATTTTCAAAACAAGAATGTCCTTTTTTTGTGTACAAATATACATCGTTTTAATACATACATACATACATCGTTTTTCGAAGAATTTAATAATTTTAAATTTCAATAATATTATAGTCATATTTTAATATCGTAATTGTCATCTCAAGAATATATAATTATTCAATTCTACTTTAAGAAAATTATAATCTTTGATTTAAAAATGTTATTTTCTATCTAACATTGTTTAATATATTTTTCTCGATTAAACTATATAAAATGGCTTCATTCAAGTAAGCAATTATTCGAGCAATTATATTTTTCCTTAATTAACGCAATATAATCTCATTTCAAGATTTCCACGTTAAAACTAAATATATTTTCAAAACAAGAATATTCTTTTTTTTTCTGTGCAGAATGAAATGTCCATCCGATGCGCAGCCGCGGGTACCCGAAATGATGCACACGCGGAGGTACCTGCATCATTCCATCCTCTCATCGGGGGCCTCATCGCGCCGCTCGCGAATATCCGTGCCGTGACTACACCATAAGGCCGAAACCATACCGCGCTCGAGCCGCGCGCAGTGGGGCGGCCAAAGTAGGCCGGAGCACCGTTACAGCCGGCTGCACGGCCGAAGCCTACGCAAATCGACTTGATTTTGCCCGAATGGCTTTCCTTTTCGTTGTGAAAAATGGCGCGTGCGAGCCGCTGGTTTCCGCGCCGACCCACTTCTCTACGCGAGCGACCATGCGTGCGATTTTCCTCGCGATTCCCGCGCGCGCCCGCACACTTGACACTTGGGTGCGAGCACGTGACGTCCGCCGCGTCGCGCTTTGTCGTCTTTTTTTCCCCCCCCGGGTTTTATTTTCCGGCGCGAGTACGTATTTACGTATTTACGTTCGGTAAATATGCAGTTGCGTCTGCGAATTTCGTCTAGAATTTTTCCAGGGCTTAAATTTACAAATTATTTTCAAATTCCTTTTTTATTTCTTAACCTAGAGAGGTAGCAATGTTTCTCGGCCGAAAAAGCTAACGAAATTTCAATCCGAATCTCCGCATCATCCGGAAGAGACGCGGCGCGCGACGCGCGGCACACTTGTTCGCGCGATGACTATGCCCGGCTAAACTATATCGGCACGTATACTGGAGAACGGAAGTAGGTCGAGGCACCGTTACCGGGTTGCCGAGAAGCTCGGGAGGCCTACGCGAGACGAGTCAGATTTTGCTAAGCGTTCGACGATGTGTGCGCGTATACGCGCACGTACACAACACCGTGGCTTTCCTTTTCGTTACGAAAAATGGCGCGTGCGAAACGCGGTTCCCCGTGAATGACCCACATCGGTCAAACGAGTCACGCTCGCGCGAGAGCGTCGTCTTCGTCCTCGCGCGCCTCGTTGGCGGGCGACCGGTTGGGAACCCAACCGCTCGGTACCCGTGACCCACACACCGCAGCACGCAGAACCAGACGCGACCAAACGTGAAATTCATTTCCATACTTCCGTGTCCGGCTGTACGGAATGGATCTTTTCGCCTCGTTACGCAGCAGCGACGGACTGCGCGTTCGTCCGTTCCCAATCGACCAATTTTTTCCTCAATGTCGTTTTCCTTTTTAATTAATAAATGCGGAAAATGTCACCGTGTTTCCTTCAATACTTTTCGCATTTTTAATCTA